CAGCAGTGCAAGTTGCTTGGTTCTAAAACATGACTCTTAACAAATACACGTAAATAGAGTAAAAATGTTAAACTATGATTGAGTCAACTCTTCTGGTAGCATTAGAATACTTGAAGGAATGGCTGAAGCCCAACTAAACAAATTGTTCTTGAAGAAAAAAAAAAAAGATTTTTTTCATGGCCAATTTCAATCCCTTAATGAGAGCACAAAAGACATGATTTGGACACAAGCCAGATTTCCTCTCTCTGTTTTTTTTCTTCCTTACTTAAAAGCATGTCTACACAAATATAGAATCATTTTTCTGTAGGAATTCTTCCCTCACTTTGTCCACAAGATGACTTGTCCATAGGGAAGAGAAGATGTGTGTTTATGACAGCTAGATAGTAAAACAACTTGTTATCAGTAAAGCATGGGCCATACCTGAAACATCATTCCTATTGTGATTCAGCGTGGCTGAAAAAATAAAAACTCAGGCAACGGGCTAAATTCCCCAGCTGCAGGAACAATTTCAATCCTTTTCATCAGCCAGGTCCTAGCAGACCTAGAACTTTACTACCACTATCTGCCAAATTAGTTTCCAGAATACAGTGTTGCAAACACATCATTAAGAAAAAAACTTTCAGACTATTTGATCACAGTCAAAAGTGGGGAGTGCCATGAAGACTTCTGCATATCATGCTTTTTAGGAACAGCTGCCAACATTTTGAGCTTTGATGTGCTTGGTTCGGAGTTGCACCTATCTGAGAATGATTAGCTGCCTGACTTCCAGGCACAGCCATTAATGGAGTTTGGAGGCTGCATTTGTAAGGCGTTTTGAAAAAGTCTGAACAATTTCTAAAATAGCGAGTGGAGCTGAGACTCACCTATTGTTGGATGAATCATTTATTTTCACCACTGTTCTCTGTTTACCTGCCTGCCAGAGTGACTGTGAGTAAGTCTGATATCCTTCATTAGCCTTACAGTCTTGACTATTGCACTGTGCTATTGTCTATAAACTGCAATTTAAACTGCATTTTATTACATGACTTTTGTCTATCTTTTTATTCAGTTTGCAGAATGCCTAGAGAAACTGGCCCATGACTCAGGCTTCTAATTACTGCTGTGAAATGAAAAACATTCATGTGGATGCTGTTGTAAGAGCAGTACACCATATAAAGAGAATGTCACTCGAGAAGCCCTGGTTGTTGGAGGTAACAGCTATGTAGTGTTGTTCATGAATTTTACAGTACCAACTCTGTTTGTGTATTGCGAATGATTTCTCATGTGTGACTTTGTTTTATAGCCCTTAACCAATGCCAGCCGGAATCCAAAGACAAGCTACTGAATCAATTAACAAAGGTCCCCAAGTAAACAGGCAGAGTCTTCATTCTGTCTGGACCCCTATAATTACTGCAGCTTGATGCAAAATCCCTGGGGACTGCAGACAGTTTTACAAGCTAAATTAATCTACAATTTCTCATCAACTGTGTCAGTAGATGCAAAGTAGCTCACAGGGGAAGTGAGCTCACTTCTTGCTGGTATTATCTGAGTTACTAAGGTACTGTTTTCCTCCTCCCTGGCACTGGGTTTTAGGGGTAAATCATCCATCTCTTTTTAATCCATGTATTTCCATTTTGCACTGTAGGGACAAAAGCAAAGATTGCCCTTTAAAAGGGACAGAAACAAATCAAGAATTAGCCTTTAAACACCACTTTTAGAGTATGCCTTGTCATCTTTTTTAGAAAATCCTCATCGGAAAAATATTGCCTCCTCCCCAGGAAGAGAGTAGAACACCTGACAGTCGTGTAACCTCACTGTGCAAGGGGAGAACACACTGGGAATCTGCTCACGCAGAAATTCTAGTGATTATATGTAAGGCAGCAAGTGAGGGGGGAAATAAAAGAGGTAAGCAAAAGAGAAACAACAGAGTAATAGGGTCAGCATATCAATGACTTCAACCCTAATTATTTCTCTCTTGCAGTCAAGAAAACGTCTCCTATTGCAGCACTGACACTGTGAAGTAACCCACTGTGAAGTACAGCCCTACTGCTGTTCATGGAGATGGGTCGAAAAAATAAACTTTTTCTTTTATTTCACCCCACACCAAGTACACAATGCAATCATGCAGGCTATGAACTGGACAAAAATTCCCCTATGAGCAATGAACTTAATCCAGCAATCTGTTATCAAGAATCAGAGAAAAGTTTGCAACACAAAGCAGTCTTTTGGGGGGTTTGTTCCCCCTACCCTTGATTATTAATCTCAGGCACCTGGGTCTAATTATGCTCACAAACTCAAGCAACTCTCATTGACTTTACCAAGACCTACATATACTTGAGTCCCATTCAGGATATTCAGCTTTCCAACACTCCCATAGGATCACTGTCAATGGGAAAGTACTTCTCAGCTTCTTAGGATAGAGTGACATCTTGTGGTTTCTTCTTTTGTCCATCATTGAAAAATAAAAATTAGCCACAAAAGAGTTGACTAAATTTTTTTTGTTTCCGGTATAACAATAAGATCCTATTTGTTTGAGGAATATAATGTACTTGATTCACAGAAACTGATACAACAGTTTACTTTGCCACCATCAAGGCTTGTGGAAGGATAGTGAAAATTAGCAACAAAAACATTCCAATTCATACAACATGACAAATCTTTGTTTGAATGTAATACTAATCTAGAAAAACTGTTTGGTGCTCAAGGTCATGTGCAAGTGGGATCTTATTAGTTAAATAAGTCAGTCTCCAGTGGTAGCACCACTGCTAAAGGGATTCGTAGGGAATCCAACTGCAGCTCTGAAAAGCATTTCCACCTGGACTCCAGAAGATGTATGCAAGAAAGAGAAGATGATAGCATTAGGCAACTGCATCTCAGGCTTAAAATCCATCTGCATCACAGAAGGATCTCAGTAGACAATGTCACATCATGGGCCACTTACACAGCACAACTACAGAAGTTTCAGCAATTTATTTTCTGATATCGCCTCCAACACAAAATACAATTTTTAAATTTTTTTTTAAGACCACACACCTAAACTCACATACGAGCCACTATTGATAAATGCCCCTCACCAAAAAAAAAACCCCAAACAAATTATTTTATTTTGCTAGTTTTGTCTCAAAAAAGCAGTAGCATCTTTGAAAGGAACATTATACAAAATCTAGATTAAAAACCACAAAGGTATTTATATACCTCAATAAATTGGTAACAATATTTAAGATATTATCACTACTGAAAACCAGTATTGTTTGAGCTGTTCTCATTGTGGTCTACAACTAACATCTTTGCATAATTTGGTAATAAATCAATTCATGTTGTTGAAAACCAGATAATTCTCAATTTTCAAGAAACATGAAATGGCTATTTTGCATCTGTAAGGACTAGGAGACTATCAAGTGAAATAACTAGTTCTGCATTTCTGTTTCTGCTGGTTTTCCTATATGTCTATTTAGGCAATTCTCAGAATCAGATTTGAAATATGCGATTCTGCATCATTCCACTTATACCTATGCTCAGTCCAACTGCTAGGGAAGTCTGTGCACTTGCCTGATATCCTCTATAAATACTTCTGACTGGCAGCTGTCCTTCCATAATTCCATAGCTTTAGTTCAAATCTATCTTCAGTCCTTCCCTTGGTAAGAAGCATCTGTGGTGCAAGGAACTAATGCAAAGAAAACACAAAATTGGTCAGGAATAACTTTCGATGGACTGAAAATAAACATGACTGAGGGTTGTCATCTGCTTCCTCATGTCTTTCCAACTCCGAGTGAACATCTCAAAAGTTAGCCTGAAAAAATGTAACAGTTTAAAAATCAGGCTCCTAGAAGGTTAAAACCACAAGAGATCCTTAGCATATGAGTCACTTTTACAGACATTAGGTGATGTTCATAGAATCATTTAAACATGAAGAACCAGCCCTTGTGTAACTCCATGTCAAAGGAGCTGGTTTTACCTGCAGTGAGGCTAGTTCCATGTCTTGCTAAAATTAGCCCCTGCTGCTTCTTAGAAGCACTACCTTTTTTTCCTCTCCCAAGCATAACATTTTTAGCTATACAGAACTAAAATTACAATTTTTGACTAAATTTAAATACAAAAACTGTCTCACCAAGTCCAGACTTTAATACACGAAGGGTAATAAGCAACAGCAATGCACTAAGGAATTCCATTTTTCTTCTGTGCAACAGAACTAAACAATTCAAGAAATAAGGGCTAGACATGTGTTCAAATGCTCTTTCTCCGAGGGAGCATAACCAGCCTCCACGGAGAACATCCATCACTTCGCAGTTTGACCTGCATGATTTGCACCAGCAGTATTAAAAAAAGTGAACAATGTGTCAAATTTTGGAAGTTCTCCTTGCATGAATAACTTTGTGAGCAATATCTATGCTGTTTTGAAGTGAATGTATGCCAGAGAAGCCTATAACTAAAACTAAAGTTCAGCCAATACGTATTTGTTCCCACAGAATTCAAAAGACAAAACTCCTATTGACTGTGAACAAACCCACTTATTATCCAAAAGTTTGTATTTACGATCTGTTTCAAAGGAGCTCCTCCTTTCTTTTCTCCTATTTTCTCTTACCTTTTCAATAACTTCTGTTCTTTTTTATGTTTTGCACAATGAGGGAGGAAAAAATTATATGCCTCTCTGGTGACAACTGGTACTTCTTCTCCTCTTGCAAATGGAAACAGCAACTAATTCCCCTGCTAATATTTACTTGTGGTATGTATCATTCTCCTCTCCATCAGTTTATTCTCAATAAAAAGTGAGAGAATAAAAAGGATTATGTTGTTCCTTTAGACATTTATTTATGAATAGAACATTTTTAGACACTTAAAATTAAGGTGGGTTTTTTTGTTTGTTTGTTTTGGGGTTTTTGGGGGTTTGTTTTGTTTTGTTTTTGTTCTTTTTTTTTACTTTGAGAAAGATCATTCTAGATCACTGACGTGAGATACTGCAAAGCTTAGGTTAAAGTAGAACAACTACTTTGGGGGAGAAAAATATGTCCACACAAATGACATTACTATTCAACTATTTTACTTCAGTCACATACATAGCTATTCTACACTGACTAGTCTCAAATATTCATGCGATCAGATTTTATTGGCATCAACAGTTATGGAAGGTGAATTGCAGAGTCACATGCAGGAGCATTCATAAAAGCAACATTTTAGAATCACATGTGGGAAAGTTCACACACAGTCTACCACAGTTATCTTAACAGGTTAAAATCCACTAGGCTTAATTTGTTCCATTAACTTTGATGAGACAGCATATCGCAGTCTGTTTACTACTTTTACAGGAACAGGAAGAGATCACATTTTCCAGATGTAGTTCTTCAACTCTATGAATTGTCATCAAGGTTTGCCATCTGCATTATTCAGAGCTGCACACATTCCGCTCCTGTCTCATTGATCAAGTCAGTCTTTGGACTGTAAAAAAATTATGAATAACGGATTTGCAGGTTTTTGCTTTACAATTCACTAGAACAAGAAATAGTTGTTGACACGTACACAATTTTATTTTAAGGATACAGCAATCACAATGACAGAAACAGAACCATTACTTTAATACTGTAAGCTTTCCTCTGGAAACTGACTTGCACACAGTTAGATCTGAAAGCATTTTAAACGATATCTTGGGGGAAAACACAGCAAACCTTAAATATATTAACTTCAAACTTTATGTGCTTATCTCCTCTTTTTGGTAGCTGGTGGCAGTTAAAGCTCTTCAAAGTCATGGCCACTTGTATTCATTGCTTCAGGGTGCATTACCCTTCCCATGAATAACACAGTACCTGTGGAAAAAGTGGGAAGAGAAGAAGGGAAGGAAAGATGTCAGAACTGAAAGGAAAAGTTGAGGTTGTAAGATGACAAATACTGATGATAAATTCTAGAGCATGTGGTGCACAATTTTTGTAGGAACGTATGTCTCAGAGAACTTTATAGCCATGAAAGGCAATGGATCAACAGCCCTAGAGAAGAGGACCTCTTTGTATTCAGAACCAATACAGTACAGGGAAGAACAGTGAAATCCTCTGCATTTCAGTGCCCTCTACTTATTCTGAAGGCTTGATTGAAAACCCACCAGAAATCAACACAAAGGTTCACTTTCATTTCAGTGGTTCTGATGAAGGCCCATGAAGTACCGCCACTGATGTCAAGTGATTATGACACAGTACTGGTTTCTAGGCTGGGGGGCTCCAAAGGTGGCAGCTAACCTTAACTGAAGCATGAACACCTAATCAGAGTAACCTTCATGATCGCTTCTGACCCTCATATGCCTGAGCTGCTGGACAACGTTCCTCACAGAATTGTAAGTGAGCCCCAGAAGTCACCACACCAATCAGTTACCAATTATTAATAGATAGATACTTTGAGTTCACAGATTTACTCCACATTAGAGCATGCAACCCACAACAAGGAATTCTCTATATGAATACTGCTCCCCTACGCTATTTAAGCACCATTTACATCTTTCGCATTTTATACATTTCTATCTAACCTGTTTAAACACAGTAATCAATCATGAGCACTTAGGGTATTCTTGAATAAGAGTAACCATCACAGATTTTTTTCAAAAGGTTTCTAAGCTTAGATTTCTAGATTAGTAATGAGCTTTCAGGCTTTAACTATAGTTGTTGGAAATTACTCTTTCTACATGCAACATCAAGGCCCATGCAACATTAAGAACTGCTCTACTCTGTTCTGATTTAAACTTTTCTTTTTGGGGAGATTTTTGTATATCTAGTAGGGAAAAGGGCAGATACCCTCCTCCAGACACATTTTTGCTTAATTATGTGTCAACAACAGAAGTAAGGAAAAGGGCAGATACCCTCCTCCAGACCCATTTTTGCTTAATTATGTGTCAACAACAGCAAGAATACTCAATCTAGTTTTGGTCAAAAAAAACCCCTAAGAGTTGGTATCATGCCTTGCACACAAGTGACCCTACCTAGCTAGACTATAAGTATTACTGCAATCTAAATGGTTTAATAAACATTGATACCTATGATGGGAATCTCAAATACTGAAAAAACCTGTCAAACTGAACCTACCAGAGTTTGCTTGTAGAACACGTAAGATAACACAACACACAGACCAATATGACAGTCTGTTTTGTCACCTAGTCACATCCACACCATTAAGACAAATTACAAATATGAACCTAAGGAATTACTTAATCATTGCCCATTTTGCTAGTGAGTGCTGTTCTCATCCTTTGCCTGCCACAGAACACTTCAAGAGCACAACAGAATTATTCATAGCTGTAATATCTGTCCATTATGCAAATAATTTGATACCGGGAACATCTCTCACTGGTCTTACTACAGCCAAGCACTTATGGAATACAATGATTATGGATATTCAGGGCAGTAACGCTGTGTTCTCTGAAGAAAAATGGTGAATTTTTCTTCCCCAGGGTTTTTAGTCATGTAATTATGAATATTTTTCAGGATTATGTCAGATTTTGGTGTCTTACTCGGAGAAACATTAAGGGTACATAGAAAAGGTCAGTCTTTCAATATTAGGTATTTTAAGACAAATCAAGGAAAATTCATAACACAAGGCCAGTTCATCGATGAAAATATGCAATTTTCTGTTGTACACTTGATGATGTACTACGAAAAATGTGGAAGAGTCTGCAATATTCTCACCTGTTCTTCTGTTTCTGACCAAAAAGAAAAAGGGATGATCAACTATAACTTGAGGATACAGCACTGCCATTCTGCTAATGGCAATCATTCCTAAAGGAAAAAGAACATAGGCAACTTGTTAAATATCACTGCACAGTCTCCTTCATGAGATACTTGTGAAGCTCATGAGTAGACACTGAAGTCCCACACTCTCAGCACTAAGCGTCGCCAAGAAATAGCATGAAAAAATCTAACTGAAAATGAGAGAGACCTACAGAGTAATTGCATGCCTATTTATGCTTTAAGAATGATTAACAATGGAGAGTGGCACAATTTCCCAGGCTGAGGGAGCAGCTTATAAATTTTCAGATCCAGAACCTTAAGAGGAGTTGTGACTCCCGCTCACTTGTAGAAAGAAAATGCATTACGTTAGACAGCACTGCTGACCTGTTTTAAACAGCTCCACGCCTGCAGTTGACAGTAAAAGGTAACCTTTAATAACTATGGAATATGCAACAACTAAATGGGCTGATCTCGCAACTTTTAGCTTGAGTCTTTAAATAATGCGGAGGTTGAAAGTAAAATTAACTGGGAATCAGTTGGAATTTGGCTCTTTCTTATTTTTATTTGGATTTCTCCAGGACATTATTATTATTTCCCAGTATTTCATCTACTTTTACATTTTCACTGCACTGTTAATAAAGACTCATGTGTGCCAGTAATCTCTGTCCATATTAACGTTACCATTCAACCCAGTTACTGATATTCATGACCAGGAAGTCATTCTTCCTTACCTCAAGGACTGGTACAAATAGAGGCAAGTAGAAATCACCTAATGATACATATTGGCAACTAATGTAACTTATTTTCAGGAAAAGCATGTGACAACCAAGTAAACCAACCACCTGGCCTCCTAGCATTAATAAGGGCCAGCTATGTTTTTGCTTTAGCACTTCCCATCTTGCATCTCTGTATACAATCTTATTAAAATGCAATTGCAACAACTCTCAACTCCTTCTAACTATTCTGGATCAAATGCCTCTGACTAACTCAATTAACAGATCAAAAATCACAAATGCTTAAGTTCCATAAAGAAAATACAAGTTGCAGTCTGTACCCTCGTGACAATCAGAAGCAAAATAAGGAAGAAGTTTTCCACAAGATGCTCAAAATTCTTTGTGAAACACACCAAGGTTTTCCACAGGATGCTCAAAATTCTTTGTGAAACACACCATGTTAAAAAAATGCTAACACTTTTCATTTCCAGAATTTTCTTCTGAAAAGCAGTATACTTGCCATGCTGTCTTCATGCTACATGCTATTTAGCTTTCCTGGCTGTACAGCAAGTCAGTTTTAAAAAATTAATTAACACAGAATAAGCAGACATTTGATTTAGTTTTTAGTTCTGCTTTTCAGGCAGGTACCTGAGGCAGCAGCAGCTTCTGATCCTTCCTCATTAACTTCTAGAAATGCCTTGTGAAATGCCTTTGCAAGGTAAAGTTCTTTGTTATCTGGAGAGGAAAAGGAAACATACTTCAAGTGGCTCAACAGTAAGATTGAAGTATTTAAAAAAAACCAAACAAACCCAAAAAACCCCAAAACAAACACTCCCAAAACCCCCAACACTATTACCCACCTTCTATACCAAGTAGGGAAGGATAAGAGCTTTGTGCATAGGAGTTGCATTAAAATACCTTCCACCAATATCTTTAATATAGCACCATTTACCTCGCTTAAATTTGCAGTGCTCTCCTTCACTATGGCTATTAAAATAGCTCAGCACTGGCTAGAGCACCAGTATACCAGACAGTAAAAGACAGTCCTTGAACACGAGATTTTAAACACAATCATTAGGAAAAAGGATAATGACATTACATGGCAAATACTTATACATAAAGAATTTTATTTCTGCATTAGGTGCAATACAGACTTCCTCCAGGAAAATTAGGTATTTTCTTTCTTCTTGTCATTATATTTAAAAGAAGCTGAAGACAAATATTTATTGCAAAAACCACCACAGAACTATTTTTTTTGTCTTGTTTGTTTTCCATCCTTCTTTGTCAGCATTTTAATTTCGGTCCAAGCCTACTCCTGCTTAAGTCAGTGGATGTTTCATTACCTTTCTTCAGTGGCTAAATGATCAGACCTATTGGAATATTCAGCATCCTGCAGGAAGCAAGACACGTAACACCATTTAATCTGTTTGACTAAGTTTCATCAGAAAGACATAATAAGGATTAGATATACATTTATTGTACCTGCATAAAATCCACAGTAATGACAGAGCACAACCGGCAGTTAAGAAAGGAATAAAAGCTTTCTCAACAGGGAGATACACAACCATGAAAATCTAACCACCCCAGTGAGACAGTTATACCACTTTGCATTTCTGATCCTTCACAAAGTGTTCAACACCAAAACTCTAGCTGACTAAGGAGGGAAAGCTTGAGACTGTTCATCTAATTACTACCCATTTATTTTGGATCTCACAATGCCAGCCACTAGTTCTAATACTAATGCAAGCCAAAACCACAAGAGACGGCAGTTTCAAACGTCTCTCCCCAGCAGATCTCATTACTGCTGCATACACTCAGAACTGAAGCAAACCTCCTAGTTCAGCTGCTTAACTTAAATCTCACCAACAAAAGCCCCAAATCATTCCCTTTGGGATTGTGTGTAGTAAAACATATACTAGATTGCTAACTGTTGTATTAGTTCTAGGCTTCAGTTCCAAGCCTTCAGGGATGCTATCTTGAAAGCTAGGATAAAGTTTCCACTATGTTACTTTAAAACACGGGACCATCCAGCATCTACTTATCTTGAACACTAAGCACAACTCTCATAGCTTTTGTCTCCTTAGCTGTTAACAGAAAGGCCACCTGAAAACACAATGTGGTTGCATTCCAACACTAACATCACCTTTAAGCCTCAAGCATTACCTGTAAAAAATAAATCACAAGCTAACTAAATACTACAACCGTGTTAAATAGTCATCCCCTAAAGCTTCCATTCCATTATGGATCCATTAAGACTCAAGTTCTCAAAAAATGTTTTGGAACAAACACTGGATGTGCAAGAACATTTACATAGTTGATAATGGACAGATACCTAAGGCAAAAAGGGTCACAGATCCATGCACATCAGTAATTCCTATTGTGCATGTCTCACGTTATGTGTGTGCTGCCTTTGTAAACATGTCAGTTAACAGGATTCTTGGTAAGTTTATTGGTCAGTTCTGCAAATTCTACCTTCCAGGCAGCTGTATTTTGCTATCCTTGCCTGAGACCATTTCAAAGCTCTATTGAGCTTTTGAGGTATATGGCACATACCAAAAGAAATCAATAACTTTGCAGCCTTTATAGAAAAATGCTGGTTTGGGGTTCCTTATCTTAAAGCCAAATAAATTTTTATGTTTAATAACAAAGAAATACCCACTTATCCTAATCATGTATTTTGAATACCTTTTTTTTTTTTATTACAACACTTAACCCTGCTCCTGTGACCTGTAATATTTACAGTAATACTCTATATTTTCATCCTGAATGCTTTATTTTGCATAGCGTGGTGGTGCTTACAGTACACTGAGGTATATTTCTGGTCAGAACACTTAGCACCTCAGAAGATTGGTCTCCATCTGGTGAGCTTATAGACCCTCATACAGATAGCATAAACATTGCTAACGTTTACCATCAGGTAGAATAGTAGGCCTACTTGTAAATCTATTCAGGATCTGAGTATTAAAAAAACCCAACAATATTTTGTTAAATTGACAGGAATACAAGTGCCACTGCAGATGAGACCAGTATGTCCAATTAGTCTAGCACACTGCTCCAGCTATAGTATTATTGTTGCTTCAGAACAAGATATAACCAGCCTTACAGATGAAAGCTACAGCACAACTTATAAAAGAAAAAGATCCTCTTTTTCAGGATGTGCCTTACATCCCAAACCAAGCTTCTAATCCACAGAATATATAGAATGCCTTTATTCAATGTAGTATAGACAGTTTTGATTGCTCTGAAGCAATTTTTTTTTAATCCTACCAATCTCATGACCTCAAGGAATACCTAGCAAAGATCTCTGTGGTTAAGTTTTCCATAAGAGAAGTACTTTCTATTTGGTTTCAACTTGTTGCCTTTCACTTCGTTGGATATCATTGTCCTTGGATGGTGAAAAGAGCAATTCCACATCTCAATTTACTTTCTCTAGACTCTTCTCTTTATATTGCTACTATCACATCCCTCTCATTCATCTCTCCCTGAAGTGAATGAATCTATTTTCATATTGAAGCATAATGTTGTAACCTAGTGTTCAAGCATTCTTCTCTTTGTTCTATTCTATGATTGTCAAATCACTGACTGCAATACTTCAATATCATACACATCTTGTCATTACCATACATCTTTCCTTTATGGCTTTCACTGTGGATAAGGTGGGGCTTACCTGAGTACCTACTATCATGTCATTTTTCTCTAGCAGTTTCTTTGAATCTGGATTTTTCACAAGAACCAACATGATTTGATTGTTAGCGTCTCAGAAGAGTCCCATGGAGATTTGGTTTAGGTTTAAGCTTTCTGCAGGACCCTAGCCTACATACCCATTAATGTGTGGGAGTAATCTGAGGCTTACTTCTAACGTACATGACTCCGTTAGCATCACATTTCATTTGTCATTACACTCCATATGCTTGCAAACTCCTACTCATAGCTGCCAACTGGTTGCTCTGCAAGTCTCATTTTAAAAAAGCATGCAGGTTTATTGGCTTTTCTAGCTTAGGTTGACCCAGAAAAGTTATACCTACCTCAGTCAAGACTTCGAAGAACTATTTACTGGACTGGTGCTCTTCTAACTACTTTATATTGTGAAAGTAAGTCATTAAGATTACTTCACTGCTTCCTGAAAAGCAGGTCACCCTGAGGTTAAAAGCAGTTGCCACTTAAGGCATTATACAATAGTAAGAAATATTATAATCATTTGAAAGGGAAGGAGAATTTTAATATTGAAATTAGTTCAAGGGTAAGTCCTAAGTGGTGTCAAAATACTCAAGTGGCAAGTTTACGTGCTGTGTAAATTATAAAATCCCAAATACCAGAAGTTGTTTCAAGATTATTTTGAATACCTGATGGAATGAGAGATGCAAGTAAAACCTGTCAAAGTCTTTTGCTGAAAGTGAGAGTCAGAATACATGCAACTAGACAGCCAAATAGGAATGTCCTCCTACTCACCTGTGTCAATTGTGAGAGAGTAACATTTAAAATGTGCATCCGGATTAATACTTTCTCTTTGGTTGCTCACAATCTAGACATCCCAGAAGGTAAAGCTGACTCGTCTATTTCCATTTTTCAGATTGAGTGCAAAAAGCAAAAAATTCTAAATATTGAAAAGTAAGTCTGTAATCCTGCAATTTGGTTTACATCCACCAAACCCACATAGAATTTCACTGAACTCAACAATCTGTGCCTGGATCTGATTACAGGATTAGGGCCGTTATTGAAATTGCAGAAGGCTTTCCTTGACAATAATCCAAAGGCAAGAGCAACAGGAGAGGGGGAGGAGAGTATTTTTAAACGCAACAGAATTTCTCAAAAATCTCCTTAGATTTATGATTTGTATCTTCCTAAATTAAAAGTGTCCAGACAAACATTTTGTTCGAATATTTGCATTTAAGGTTTCGTGAAGTGCCAAATTTTCTAGAGGGCTGACACTGAGATGCATGTAAACTTCTGGCTTCAACTTCCCTGTTACCTGACATACTATTCAGGTATTTGCAAAAGCAAGCTTTCAACATTTTTCTTCATGATTTTTTTCTTCCCCTTCCTCCTCCCTCTTCATTTTACATTGTGAAAATTAGAAATAGGAAACATATTTTGTATTTTAATTACTTAAAATTTCACCTCCATAGCATCAACAGCAGGTTTTTCATTAAAAACATTACTGCAAAAACATTTTCTTAATTTATAAGTGACCTTTTCATCACGTGGTGGCACACGCCCTCTTAGGTGAAAAGCAAGAATGTTATAGTAAAACTCATGAATTCTCTCTGCACGCTGCTCTACATTACTTAATAAACAAGTTAATCTTTAAATGGCAGAGGAGTTGTCAGTCATGCAAAACATGGTATTTTGATTTTGTACAGTACAATTGTCAAAAATATAAAACTTTTAACAAGTCATTAGTCACATGGATTAAAACACAAACAAGTTCCAATCTTACTGCTAACCTTTCAACTACAGAATTAGTCCCTGATATATAGGTGAATTTTACATGAAATGAAGTAAGAGCCAAGCACTGCCTTTGTGGTTCAATCTCCCCTATGTATTTTCTATTCTCTTTAGTACTTCTCCTCAAGTAAATACTTTTCTGTGTACAGACCAGAAATTACTGGAAAGCTTACTTTTGTTTGGGGTGGCAGACAAATTGAAGGTGTTTTTCTTCAGAAAAATTATATTTTTTTAAGAAGGATTTTTCATTTATTCAAATTCTTTTCACATTAGCTAACTCCAGCTCTTCCCACAATTTCACTGGAAGAGTGAAAGCAGCAAAACAGTGGAATAAGCTACATGATATACTATAAAGAATATTTCAAACTTAGCAGAAGTGAAAAGGATATGAAAATCACAAATATTTCTGCTGTAAATTTTAGAGGAAGGTTCACATCCATTACCACTATTTTGAACAAGCCACACAGGTGTGATTGTTTCCAGAGACAGACAATTAAGAACAGGTATTTCCCATCAGCTAAGGATCTATCTGGCTAATTAGGCAGTAATCCATAGAGCAGAAACACATACAGGGAACAGTATATAAGCATGAATTACAAGAACAATGACAGCAATCTCACACTAGTGCGTGCTTCTAGATAGAGAACAACTGGGTTTGCAAAAATTCAGGTCTAGACAGACCATGCTAAATACACTGCTTGCATGGCTACTTTTGCTACACAAAAATGAAACAACTTCTCAGGCAAAGATGACTCAGCTACCTTTTGTGCCAGTTCAATACCTTTTAGGAGGTAATAAAAGCATAAATATGTCATTTCCATGTGAATTTCTAAATGTATTGGATATTTCAACTTCTGAAAATGAAGTGTTGACAATGTGTTGAAATAGGCAAGCAGCTTTTATCTCAGAACTCTTTCTTTCCTGTGCTGCTTCTATACAGCAGGTATCTGGGGAGATGACTAATTGTACAACAGTTTAACGCTCTTAATGCTGTGAACAAATAGCCTCTGGAGATAAAAGATGACAACCCCCTTGTTGTGTGAATCTCATTTGCCATCAAGGCACTGAAGCCATATATTGCTCTAATGTGGATCTGCCTCTTGCATAGTATTACACTTTCTCTACATTTCTAATGACATCGCATTCTGAAATACTCGGAGCGAACTTCCCCAGGTCAAAATCCCCCACCCTACACACATACACTAATGGATTTCTTCCCTGCCCCAACTGCTCCTACAGTGAGCACATTCTTACATGATGCAAAAATCCCAAAGGATCAAAAAATTGCTAGTGGGTTGTTTTTTTTTTTTTTTTTCCATAAAACCACTTTGAAGAGCTTGTTGGTTATCTTTAGGTGATTTTAGTACTTCCTCATATACCTCAAGAAACAACGCAAGGACCTCTTACCAGACATTGCGGTGAGGTCAGCGCTGCTGCTGAACAGCTCCGTAACTCCGAGACCTCTCCAGACATCTTTCAGATCAATTTCCTGTTCTACTGTGAACCTGGAGAACATAATAGAAAATTACAAAAAGCCCAGAATGTAAGCAATACTTACTGTTATTAGAAAGTTAAAATTTCTAGGTAATGACAATTGAAACACCAAGGTAAATAAAGCAGGAGAGGTAAAGTAGGTGATTTGGCACTGGTAGTATAGCATAGTGACACCTTCTACAAAAATGCTTACAAATAAATTAGTTTACTTTCACAGGTAGATTTTTTTTTTTTAAATGCAGAAGCAAGCAAAAAGATGCTGCTGGAATGTACAGTCCCTGACCATAAAACCTCAGTGCAAAATGATGTAGTGACTAATGTAAATGCTTACTTTTTATACAAAAGGTTTACTATAAAAACTGAATTTAATTTTACACATACTAGAACAGAATATCAAATAAGACAAAGGACAGCACAAGCTTGATAGCTGTTGGCAAAGAAGGAATAGGAAAGTAAGAAAGATACTCCATTTTTATTTAGACAGTAAAAGCAAAAACCAGCAGTTATGAACACGAATATAATGCATTTCTGCCTCAACTTCTAATTACTCTGGTGGCAAAATTTTAATTGGGTTTTGACTGTGAGAAAAGAACAGGGAAAATGTTGTTAGCGCAAATGCACATGTGAGTACAACCTGGCAGGATTTCAGGGTTCACTTGCAAAGCCATGTTCTAGGCTATGTTGCTATGCTGGAAGGACAAATTGAGATTAATCCTGAGGGCAAGATTTTGAGCAAAAGCTTTTTCCATTTACAAAGACTTCTTTTCAAACATTATAAAAGTTATGCCTGGTGTCAATAAGACAAAAAAGACTCAAGTCCTTAATGTATGACCAGAAACAGACTGGAAAGCTGGAGAAACAGAGAAATATGTCATAATAATAATAAGAATGGCAGCCGCAACCAGAAAATACCAGAAGTCTACAAACACAAGAGACAAATTATAAATATTTGTTATGGGTGAGTTATGGGTTCTCTGTAAAATGACCAAACAAATTATTAGTGATTCAAGTTATGCTGACAGTGACTGGTTGTAACTGTACAACACAAAATATATAGTCTATCAGGTGTTGTTACAGTTTCTCCAGCAAGCCATTCAGTCAGAAATAACTCTGCAATTACATTGCAGTCCGTAGTGAAGGGTCTTACCTGTGCTAGAACCAAAAATAAAATAAAATGTGCTTCTGTGCAATTTCTTGTAATAATTCTTTTTCAGGACTAAACTTCCTCGACTACATGGAGGAACATGTTCTTTTCAGAAGAAAGTATAGGCCAGAACTCTGAGCAGAGAACAGCTGATGAAGAGCTGAGATGTATGATACCTTGGCACGTAGGTTTTAAGTCTTGGCAGCTTGAAAAAGAATAATCTGGATATCAAAAGACACCTGGATAAGAGTCAAGTGGATCTTCCTCACTTACAACATTTACACAAAATGAGAAAAATCCAATACACAATGTACATTCATAATGAGCTTAGAAATGCCATAAGAAGCCAAAAATCTATGATAGAATAGATGTTAGTCATTACACAGAGTAGAATTTTATGCAAGTTAAAATAAGATCTGGAGATAGTCCAGGATCGATAAATCACCGGTGGCACCGCAAGTCCAGATGAACTCCAGGATATGCCTGGAATAAAACCTCAAAAACTGATTTTTGTGATTTTATTGTTTTGGCAGTTCTCAAAAGAATCAGAAGAGACCAACAAAGATTTATGTACTGGAGGAAGCTTACGGTGTTCTGGCATATTCTACATCAGTCAGTGTGGCAGCATTTAAAAAAAAAAAAAGATGTCATTATTTTGATGAATGAGATGTAGGTACACAGACGAGATGACCTAAAAACTGCCAATAGGATTGTAGGAAGGGGAAATGTGTCCTGTTTTTTCTTCAAGAGGAATCATGACTCACTTTCCTCTTAGAAAGCTGTGGACACTCACACTGGTCAAAAACTACAGGCAGGGAGCTCACAAGACCTTCTGCACAATTTTAGCTTTAAGCTGAGAGACAAATCTGCAAGTTGCTCATTCATTCAAATTTCCCACTGGCTCACAGACTCCAACACTAGTTTACTCTCACTACACACTTGTAAGGTAAGTCCAGATCTATTTTAGAGACTTCAGTAAAAACCCTAAGAAAGATGACTTAAGACTTGATTCCTGATGCCAGAGTTAACTAGAGTTAAACAGTACAGAGGTTCTGTCTGTGCACATTGAATAAATATTTCCTTCTATGTTAAAACTAAACTATAACATTTTGAAAAAAACACATCCAACTGTACCTACCTTACAAACATGCAGAAAAGGCAAATTAGCATTAAAATGCATTTTATAAAGATGTCAGAGTGGTGTACTTTTCCTTTTTTTGGCTTTTATTTCACCATAATTAGTATTAAATGTATCAAGCTTTCAAGATAATTTAGTAGTTTTTTTTACTATTAAGCAGTAACGTCAAACTAGTAAAGAGTAACAGGATAGGATATTAGCAAGAAAAGTCTGCATGAAAAGCAAAATTTGAGGTCACAAATAAGAAAAATAACTGCAAAAAATCATTTTTTCCAACTGCAGAGAATCACTATAAGATATAAATGGAAATCAGGTGGGTTTAAGTCTCTGGACCACTAGACAGAAAACACACTTACCTGCTAAGCGATGAACTGTGACCCAGAAAGAAAGCATGACAAAAGATGCTTTTGCATACTAATCAAGGAAGAGGTTTGGGAGATGTTTTTGAAAAAAAAAAAAAAACCAAAAAAACCCCCAAATCAAACCAAACAAAAAAACCCAAAACAACAACAAAAAAACCCAAACAAAAACCCCCACAAAACCACCCCCATAAAGCCCCAGCTGAATATGCATCTGAAAAAAGGAAATGCAAACAAGTTGATTGGTTATATTGCTAAAGAATACCTACATGAACAATAGTAGCAGTCACTTAATTACTGGATAGAGGCTATACCCCTGATCAAACCAAACAAAAAACCCCAAAACAACAACAAAAAAACCCAAACAAAAACCCCCACAAAACCACCCCCATAAAGCCCCAGCTGAATATGCATCTGAAAAAAGGAAATGCAAACAAGTTGATTGGTTATATTGCTAAAGAATACCTACATGAACAATAGTAGCAGTCACTTAATTACTGGATAGAGGCTATACCCCTGACTGAAACCTCTGGAAAGGCAAATGCTGAGCAGGTGGATGAGTGAAGGTCTCTACAGTATCTATAAGAGTGAGTTCCTGCTTTTTATGACAAATAAAGTAGAACAAAAATATCACATCAGCTGTATAAATACCAAACTATCCCTTTATGAAAATAAAACTAATTACTTTCCCTTCTCCCCTTTTAGTTTTGTCACATGGTAAAAACCCACTCTGGACCGCTGTTCAAAATGGCATCTCCCCTCCTTTCTCACATGCTCTGAAGAGCGGCGAGAGTTACAGATAAGCTACTATTAATGATATTTCATATATTTTAGCTGACATCAGAACTAGCCGCTTTTGCAAAATAACAGGACTGCTTTATACTTTGAAATATAATTTCAGGCTAGGCAAACCAATGTAAACATTCAGTATGAGTTATCCTCCAGTCATATTTGGATTTCTTTGCGTTCCTTATAGGCAGTGATGTAGGCATTCAAAATCAAAGCCGACAACCTGGAATGCGGAAGAGACGTTCAATCTCATTTCCCAAGCTGGGCATCTGCTCTACCTCCAGACTTCAGAAATGCCGAGCTACATGATCCTAGCCCTGACACGTGGTTATTTGCAGTGTTTGTTGCATATAATGAACCAGATGGTCATACTTTTTTCCACAATCTTTTAGGTACTTCTGACGCTAAAAATACTATGAAAAATCAGTTTCTATACTTCAGTATCAGAAGTCACGGAATAGTTGCAACTGGGAGCATTAAAAACCATAAATAGAAGTCTGAGAAAGCTCAGACACTGAAGAAAAGATGAGGCATTTTCACCATAGGACCAGAACAGGAACAGAAAGACTGGTCTGTTGAGTCAAGAGAAGAGCTTCTCTACTTAAGCAGTTCTAGAATGTTCACCAACACACATGTTCATGGATATTTGCTTCTACAGATCACCTTAGAAAGCACTGAGCAGAACGGTATCAATAAGGGATAGAGGTTCTGCCTATCAGCTGTTAGCCAAAGTCAAGGAGAAGTGAAGATGTGATTTAGCTCTAGATTTATTTTTACAATGTTCATTTGTAAAGTCCCTCTACTTCCTACATGTCAAAAGCAGTCCAAATAGCTGAATAAAAATACTTCCCTTGGTTTCCACCGTCTTTGGATCTCTCTCCCACATGAAATGAAGAACAGAATGAGACACTTAGAAAGCAGAATTAGATTGAGAAACTAACAAACAGTTCTCTGGAGAGTTTGGTAGAGAATGATGATTTTTCATGAAATTTAAAACTTACACAAGCATTAGACTAAAACGATGCATTTATGTCATCGACAGTCTCCTTAGTTATGTATCTGAACCTTTAGGTTTTGGATAGAGCATTAACTTTAACATACCATATCAGGCCATCTTTCTTCTATTTTACAGACTTTCAAGATAGAAAAACAGATGGCTTCATCTTGTATGATGCTGTCCAACCCTTCTGAAATGCTGAATTTTTCATGAAGTCCTTAGACGCTCAGGATCCACAGAATCAAGGATTGGGGTACACTTTCTAGTTATACATCAGAAGTGAACTAGAGCCTAGTATGATTCATCCAAAAGGCTATAATTTCACAAATTACTAAGAGTTCTGAACAAGCAAAAGCTAGAAATTCCCGGTTTTCAGATTGGTTCTAATACATTACATTCTGCAGAACAAAAAGCAAACAAAGAAATGGCTCCATTGCTTGAGATCAACAATATTCTTGCTTGGAGGACACGCCCTCAGGATCTGAATCACTATTTTAACCTAGCAAACAGCCTACAATACAAAACTGCCAGCTGATATCAATTCCAGCATTTCGGCTGGAATTTCAGCTAGGTTGTCCTGAGGTGCTAGAACTAGCCTGCATGATTTAATAGCCTGAAAACAAACAAGCAAGCAACAAAACCCCACTAACAGCAAAAACAAACAAACAAAAGAACCCATACAGCTGCTCTGACCAGGTGAAGCAAGGCAGGTTATGGTTCTTTCTCTGGCAAGGTCCTTCTATCCAGGGCTAAATATGGGCTGCAGAAGTTGGCTAAGTGTGTATTTCAGTGGGACGGTTTTATGCCTCTTCCGTGACTGTATCTCAAGAACAATCAGCACGGGACTATTCCTCGTGAAAAGAGGACTCAAGAGAGTGTGTTAAAAAAAACAGACTGTTTTTTTTGGTTTGGGGTTGTTTTTTGGTTTTGTTCTTTTTGAGTGAAAACAACCTTCAGCTAAAGAAACTTATTTCAACACCACCTAAGGCATTTTTAAGGTACTTTAAATGTACAAAAAAGCAAGAAGGTCATTATAGAGAGCCTGGCATACTGGAACAATCCTTAAGAGTAGATCTGCAGACTGTAGCACTGTTATTAGGTACTAGTTCCTCCTATGCTCTTGAAATAATTTATGTTAGAGAGACAGCTTTGTAAATTAGATTCATGGTCTGTTTCACTCCTATGCAAAAAGTGGATTAAAATGTTGATCACTTTAGTCTGGGTTAAGCTGGAAACAATGATTTGAAAATGAAAATGAGAAAGTATAATTTAACAATTCTGTACAAATTTCTCCTTTGCTATTAAGAGGAATAATACACAATTTCATTTGCACACAGATAATGCAGACAGAAATTGGAAAGTTGTGATTAACTCTGCTTTGGCTAGTCATTCAGGTCCTATTACAAATGTATAAGTTTTAAAAATGTTCACTTTATATTGGGTAGCATCTTTCAGGATATAAAAATTTAATTTTATTCTACTGCTGCTTTCAATTTCTCAGTGGACAGAGCCTGCAGGCCACATTTCATAACATGCCTTTCTGAGTCAGAGCATGAAATATTTATAAAGTGTTTATTTAGAGCACTGATAAAATCCTGCAGACCACCTCTGAATCCCTAACGGCAATCCAACACCTTGGCAGCATGTAATTAATCTTGGAATTTTTGTAAGAAAACATATTACTATATGGAAGTTCGAGCTCATGACAGTTACCTTTTATAATCTGAAAATACTGATGGCAAATCAGCACCTGGTTGTACCTCTTTTGCCTTTCTATAGCCTTAATTCACAAATGTTTACCAAGTTCTCTGAGGTTCTTAGATAAGATCAACAGGCATGACGACTAACCTGAGTATGGAATAAATAAGGACGTTATATGACCACAGAAAACCTACACTTCAAACTCATGTCTGAGAACCCGGCTACAGAAAATCCTGGAGTCTCTGCTTTTGGTTAAAAGCAAACAAACCCCAAAACTACCTCCATAAACTTAATTCAAGTCATAAACATAATTAATATGTTTTCAATGACATTCATGTATTTAACTTTAGATACCTAAGCTGCTTAAATTTCGAAGCTAGTTTTCACAGATTCCCTATATAATCAATGGAGACAGACTTCTGTTGTGGATCTTGCACTCAAGAAATTCTTTGAGAGAAGATGTCCAACTTCAGCACCTGATGCATAGGCTGTGAAACGCTCCTTATAAAAGGAAAGCTTAAGGGATGGACGAATCCTCATATTTTACTTTTCTTTACCATCTAGGTACGGTTTGCCCAAGCCAGCAGGAGAAAAAGCCTAGGAGAAATGCCCCTCCCCTGCATCTTAGTGGACTGTTAATACTAAAGCTCCTGGGACCTGAAGCTCCAAGAGAAAAACAAACAAAAATCACAGGAATAGTGTACAGTAGGTTCAGTTTGTATAAAACCTGCAATGCAGCTCTTTGCTGGTCTCCCTGCTTCTTTAAAGGAAATGCTACTTAAAAAAGAAAGGAACTTTTACTATGGGGCAGAGAAAAATAGCCCCAAAATGCTGCTGTTCCCTCACCACTCTGACTCCAAGCGTAACAGCTTTAAAGAGAAGTGGAATTCCATCTCAAGTTGGAATCAGGGCATGCTGACAGCACCAGTCCATCTCAACCTAATTTATCCTGGCTAGCCTTGTTTTATTGTGCTCAGCTGCAGTTAGCTTCTTGAAAGTGGTCTTTGCTTGGAAAGGAAGCTGATAAAACTGCAGGGATTCTTGCCCTGCTCTTTATATGTGAAATACAATAAACTCAAATCTCCAAGTCACATGAAAACAAATAACTATTTTAATGATTAAAAGGATTCACTATAGTTTATTTTTTCTGCTGCCATGCACCCGCTGCACTGTGCCACAAAAGTAGAATAAGTAGAAGTGATCCACATCAAACTTGTGCCATATTGTTATATAAACACTTCAATGAAATCATTATGAATCACTGAAGGACATTATTAGTGATATTTAGTAGTAAACAACTGCATTACTAAGTCAAGTGTAGGGCAAGCACGAAAAATACTTGAAAGTAGATGAAATAGAATTCTAGGAAAGATAACTAAGCGGTATCTGTGAGCAAATATGCCACTGAGCACACAGAACTTATGTCTACAAATGAACTGACAGAAGTTTCATCCCTTCTGGTAGTAACATCTTGTTATTCTACTGCTCCTCTACAGAAAAAGAAACCAGTGCTTATCACAACTAAGAAAAAAGACAAAAGACACAAATTGACTGGAATTACCTCTCAACACTCAACCATTTGTATCTACACACCATTAGAATTTTTTTAATTAGCAGCGCATAGAAATCTAATTAGGACCTAAATGAAACGTTTTAGCTTTTGTTAATTCAGACTTGCAATATTTCTATGGCTCCTGTCTAAGTGGAACTTACCCATAATGAGTTCTGCAATACTCTGAACATCATTCAGAGTGGATATATTCCTGATGATGAAATTCTCCTTTCTGAAGCTTACATATGAAAGGGATGCAAATGCAGTGCTCACCTGTTGCGCAAACAACCATCATTCCGCACTGCACGCCCCTGGGCTTTCTGGTAAAAGCAACCTTCACGTGGATGCTGCATAACTGCAGACTTGATCAAGATGTTCAAGTTTTACCTACTCTGCTACTCCAATCAATTTGAATGCAGCCTTTCCCCTTCTATTGACATGGGAGCATATTCTCACCTTGGTAAATACACTTCCACTTTTTGCTTCTTTACAGAATTAGCCCATTCATTAATCAACGAGGCTTTGACCAGTGGTTCCAATGTGACCAGTGGAACTTCCTGTCTGGAAAGAACGATCATCATACTAATCTCATCTCCCTCATATGGTATTTCCAGAACTTGATAGATACCACCTGCTTCATTGGAGCCATCGCTGAACTCTCCTACAGAAGAAAAACAACAACAAAAAAGCTATTAGAAGTATTTTCTTTTGGGGTTTTTTTGGGGGTTTTTTTTGGTGGGGTTTTTGGGTTTTTTTTTGACCCTCTGTATTCTACTCTGTATAAAACTTGTATTAGTTTCTTCATCATAGGATTTGAGGCTTACATCTGCTTTCTTAAAGAAAACAAGCTTATGCAATCACACAGCTTGTGGATAATCATACTTCTGAACCTATTACCTAACTTCCATTGGTTAGACAGAGAGAAATCTAGAAGTTGTTAAGGCTGCCAAGACTTTCATGGAAAAGGGCAGAGGTTTTTTTATTCAGGAGAGACAATTTTTCAGTGATGAGGCTGAGTGAAATACTGCCAATGCTAGACACCATAGAACCTACTTGGAGTTCAAACTCAAGATAGAAACGATCATTAGTTCTGCTGTTCAAAGAATCCCTGTTTTACCTTTCTAAGGATATTACAACAGTCATGTGCAAACATTATTCATTTTAATATTTAGGACAGCACAAAAAAAATATTTTAGTGAGAAGCAGGACTAACTCAATAATTGTAAAGAAGTTAGATATAATGGATAAACATTCTGAAATCCATCATGTGGCACCAAACGTACCTAAAAAAGTAATCAGGAAAGAGGTCATTATAAGCGTTGCTACCTTGCTATAATACACAAACACACACATTATGAAAAGACATCACAATCAGAGTCCCTTCATTGGGCAAACACCACATTTAAAATTCTAGGTGAAAGAACAGACAACAATACAAATGAGTATTACCACCACAAACCTATTAAGGGAAGACTTATTAGCTTTAAATTGCTAAAGCTCGAACTTACCATAGTAAAACTCTCCCTGCTGGTACATCATTGGAATCTGCACTTCACTTTCATCATCTTTAGTGAAAGAGAAAGTTCTTGTATTTTCAGGTCTGAACTGTGATTTCCAATTGCCTTTAAAGTAGATTGCGTTGATGAGAGCCAAATGAGTTAGAGCACCAAAATCTCTTGAAGACACAAAATCTTTGATCATATCTAAGAAGAAAACCAACTGTCAGTTGCATGTCAAATTGAGCATTAAATCAAAACTTAAGACAGCTTGAAAAATGCAAGAAAATAAAAAGCTGTGCTAACATGTAAATTCCAATTCAGCTGTTCCATTAAATCTCAAATTAAACTGCCAGTGTTTTGTAAACCTAAATCACAGTGTAGGTGCCTAAACCCTTCCATTGAGTACACGATAGTCAACTGTTTCTTGACCACTACTTAAATATACCGCACAGTGAAACCAAGTGGAAAAGGGGTCACATGAGGAATGTTTACACTGGTGCTATAATACCGTTCAGCACTATCCTCTTAAGGTCAGAACTTCTACAAACTTTGGCTCCAATCCAAAGAAGCACTTAAATGGGTGCTTAATTTAAAGTGTGTAAGTATACCCATTGGAACTTCACCTGGGCCAATTTTGAAGGAAGCATTCCGTTTCTAATCAAGTAATATCCAACAGACTTCGAAGTAAGGACTAATCATAAAAAAACCCGTAAATTCCTAGCATTTGCTCCACTGACATTAGCTCTTGAAAAGCAAAAGAGAAAAAACCATCTAGCATCTGCTCTATTCATGGGAGGTATGTCAGCTGAGCATGGCAGCTGCTTTGCTCCTACTCCTCAATAAGTCATTTACATCAGAAAACAGTCTGTTACCTGCTTTAGCTCATCTTAAATGGCTTGCTTCTCGGCAAAATAATTTTGAGTTTGTTAAATTTGGTGCACTGACCAGATTTGTTACTATTCTTGAAAAATTACAGCCTACTTCAGAAAGCTTTCTTGCTCACTTCTATTTTTAACTGACATTGCAATGCAAGGTGTTAAAATAAACACATTCCTCAGTCTGATTATTACTTCTTAATCCATGGTTTAAAATACAGATTAATTTTGCTTTCTGGAGCATATGACACTGACTAACTGGTGTGAAATTTGTGTATCAAAGGGCAGTATTTTTTCTGGGTTGCTGTTTGTATTTCATTTTATCTAGAACATTCTTAGAAATGAGATGTGACCATACTGCCATACTCGCTCTCTGTGGTTGGGAAAAAAAGTAAAAATGAAGAATGAATACACTTCCAATTTTTCCATTTCTATTTGGTACATTATATCCCCTTATATTTTTCAGCCACATCTTGTTAATACCCTAATGTACGTTAAGAGTTTTTCTGTCCAGAGAAACCTTTGACAATTATGTTTTCTGCTCTGAGCCTCCCATCATGCTTAACATGCTGGAATTGGAAACCTGCCTGTCTTGTACCCCTTTCCTAATGAGAAAATGAGCCTCCTCTTGTCAGAGCTGGCAGGCAGGAGAGAGTGAGATCTAGTGGTCAGGGACTAGGCTGAGGGACTGTTACTATCGCAACCTAATGCTAAGAGACCCACAGCTGCCTTTGTCAGCTCTGCACAGCTCTTTCCAGGGCAATGGTTACGAGCTCGGTCAGCACATGTGGTGGGTATTAAGCAGGAGAACTTGTTCTTTCTAAAAGAGAATTTTACTTTTTCTTCAGACAGACACTGCATTTCTCTGAAAACACTCTGCAATCTGGTGCATCACTTACGTTCCCTCTATTTCTGTTGCTTGAGATAAAGGGCAGAATTTATTATGAATATAATAGCTGCCATTTTCCCTTGGAAGAAACAGATCATTTCCAAAATGGAATAAAAGCATTATATGAAGTATTTTTCCACTTTGGTGCCATACATTTCCATAAAGCATTATGGATTCTTAAATGCTCAGACTACAGGGAGATGTGTTAATTCCTTACAGGGGATTCCGATACCTTCAAATTTACAATGGTACGATGGATGTTAGAGCCAGATCCCTGTTGAACTACTCTTAAAATATCAACCTCCACAGCGTGCCACATGAACTAGAACGAGATTATGCTTTGATCCCTACAACGGAGGACTAACTTCACTTCCATACCTTGAGACTCTGCATGTAGTCAGAAAGTGTCACATCTTTGGGATTCCACAAGCGAAGCAAGCACTACATCATGCAGATCTGAATATGCATATTTACATCGGTAATTTTGTGCTTACTCCCCTGCTGCAAATTTTTGTTGTAAAACTCTGTTGACAGTCTTCCTAAAAGCAACTACTCTCTCAATATGCTATCTAGTTTCCTCACATTGGAAAAGATCAAATTACAGGTTCTGATTTTGTGGTTCAAAATTATCTTTTGTATTCCTTAGTATTCTATTTCTCAGTACCTTGTAACTATGAGTTCCTCAGAGAACTAGTGATTCTCCACACATTCAAAGCATAGGCCAATAACCCCTTTGTAGGCAACTTTTCTGCAGTTAGCAATAGTACTTATCTATTTTTTTTGTAATTTAATACTGAAATCAGTATTAAAATACTATTAAAATGCCTACCACTAAAATATTCTCCTTCAATAAATGTTACAGATACTTTAAGATAGTAAGACAGGGGAAAAAATATTCAGACAGATACTACTATATGATTAGCAATGGCTAATATTACTTAAGACAGATTATCCCTGCACAGGAAAAAAAAAACAATTTCATGAAGACCTGATACTTGAATTCTTTTCATGGGAGGAGATACTTTAGTCTCAAACAGAACAGATAAAAGCCAAGGCAACAATTCAACAACACTGGATAACTTTGGAAACACAAACACTTACTGCAGGAAGTATATAAAAGAATCACGTGGACTTACTATTTGTATGATTCTCCACCCACTTATTGATGTGGGTAGCTACAGCTGCACTTTGGCTGAAATCTATATTCTCTACTTCAGCTTTAAAGTATTTTTTCACCAACTGCAGAAATTTGTCACTGATATGAAATCCATTCTGCACATAGAGAGAGTTAGCAATATTCAGAACATAATGACTTTCTTCAGTAGTTGCCATATCAGAAAGGTCCTTCAAGAAGGTAAACTCTTCACCTGATGAAAGAAAAACAGATTCAGTGTTTCACAAAGGAAAGTTATTCCATATTTTTTCTGCTGGAAATTCACAAAGACATTTTATGAAAAAAAAAGAAAAAAAAAGTCTTTTTTCTTAATAAACTTGTTTCTAAACCTACACACACCTTCAGATCTGAAAGAACAATCTACAATGCAGAACATACTATTTACAGCTTATTTTTTCTACTACTTATAATTAGCGTAATTAATGAGATATTTGGATCCCATCACAGACAAAGCTATCAATGGTAATCCTTTCAACACCAAGAGAGTAATTAAAAAAATTTATTTTTATAAGTCACACTTTTATGTCTTGCCACCATAAATCCTTAACAGATTTTTCGTTACATCCTAAAAAACAGTTATTTAAGGAAAAATGAACTTCAAGTTTTGAAGCTAAGGACTTCCCCATAGACTTCTCTCTGAAAAAAAACAGGTCTAGAATTTCCCAGGATCCTGCATGGGGTAGTACAGAATCATTTGCTTGTGTCATAAGGAATCCTGAGTAGGATTAAAGTAGTCTGCTTTAAGATAGGAAGCTTGTACTGTTGCGTCGTCTACCTGAAGCTGAAATTTCTAATTTAAAAAAAAAAAAAAACAAACAACTTGAAGATTGAATGCAATGATATATTCCAAGCAGAAACCATTGGAGTACTTTCACCGAATACCACTCATATGCAAGAACAGTGAATGGCCTAGCTGAAATCAACTGCATAACTTCTTCAATTATAGCTAAGGGATAATTTATCAATGTTTTAGAGACAAACTGTAGAACTAAATATGTGCTGTAGTTTCCACAGAGGGGCATCATCTGTGCAGTGGTACTGTTGAACACATCTTGAACACTGTAGTCAGCAATTCCTCCCCGAGATCCTTTCACCGAAGACTTAAAGTACGTTGTATGAATAAGAAATTTCATTCAGGTTTCAAACCAATTACTTTGATATCAAAATTCATAGAAATTGCTTTTTCAAAGTCATTTTTTGCCATTCGCTCATCCTCTGCATTTGCAGTCATCTTACAGTTACTTGCGCTAATAGAGTGTGCTTGCACTCCACAGCACAGCACTACATCTAGACGCGTGACTTGGCTCTTCCCATACTAGAAATGGTATGGTGTGGTAGTATTGTTCTCTTCTAAAGAAATGAATCCTGTTTCTCAGAAAGGCTGATGGGAACACATGGCGTATCATGCTGAAACAGCCAAGATGCTTCTATTTTCTAAATTAGCTTGTATATCTGTATGCGACATGCAATGCAGACAGAACACCAGCAACATAGAAGTAGGGTAAAGAATCTACAGGTTCTACCTACAAGAACCGAACAAGTTGTGTCAAAGTAAGAGACATTTCCAGTTAAATTACTAAGATTTTCCTACTTCCTTATAAGCAATATTGCTAAAACTACTGCTTTCCTTTTCAGGTTTCATTATAATCCCTAAAAAGGATGTTCCTAAAAAATCATCTTGTAATTCTAGAGGCTTATTTTGCAGATGGAAACCAAGATCAACAGTTAACTGCAATTGCTTAAGATTCAGGTGCTCAAGCCAGGATTGTACGTTAGCATCTCTCAGCTTATGCAGAATCCACTGAAGCATGCTTCAGCATGCTCAGGCCATCAAACATGATGCCAAGAAGCCTACTGATTAATAACCCATGGACATGACCCAGCCCCTTCCATCATTGTTCAGGCACTGCCATCTGTTTCTTTAAGATAAAAAGCCCCATAGTAAAACATGACTAAAAGGCCTTACCATTTTTTAAGCTGTCAAAACCCAAGGAATGTCGAATTTCTTTCAAAGTGGTTCCATGGGCTCCAAGCTCTACCATTCCCATGGCTATTGCAATGCTCAGAGGAGAGAAAAGAATATTCTCATCTTCTCTTGTAGCTCGCAGCTGATTGTAAACATTCACAGAAAGCTCAGCAATGGTTTCATCAGGAAAATTTGTCTTGAAGGCTTTGCTTTGCAAAACAAGCAACGACAACAGTCCAAGGAAATACATGTCTTGAGATTCTAAGATCTGCAAGAAAATTTTAGAGGAAAAAAGTTAACCTTGTTTAAGTAATTAAAGATTCAACTTGAGAGAAAAAATAATAGTAAACTTTTAGTCTTAAATCTGTGTGGAAAAAAAACCTAGTTACGGAGTTCAACGCACAATTCAGTTATTTGGAGGAGAAACTAATACATATACTGTTCAAACTGAAGCAATGATCTATTTTCAAAAAAATAACCTACTTCATTATGTGGCAATAGATTAACAAAACACAGCTTCTACAGAAAAACACCTCAAAGACATAGTAACGCATTTCCTACTTCTACTTTTTAATTCTGCTGTTGTCATTGTTAAGCAATGCTGATCTGGAACTACTATGTATTTCTGTACTTTTTCACCAAGGAGACCTACAAATCCACGTTTCTTTCGTTTGACCTTCCAGTAAGATGCAACTTATTCATCTAAGTCACTCTAAGCCCCAAACTGGTTAAAACTATTTCAAGCACTGCGAGAGAGCTTGCTGACACCGGTGACAAACGAAATGTACCATGATGTTGCTCAGTTACAAAACACATGGCCAGCAGCCAAAAATTCTTTGAAAGAAAAATAAATCATGCCTTAGTTACCAAATGAAATCCCTTTTGTTAGTAAATAATGGTGAAGTTAGGTAGTTATGCTAGCTAAGAGACACCACCTGTTCAGAGATCTTTAGAGGACAAAGTTATTGTATACACCAGTGAGAAAGATTCAACAGAGGAAACAAGAAAGTAAACTAAATAGAAAAAAGGGTTAGCACTAGTGCTTTTGACTAATCCATCCTCCAAGCTTTGCTAAACTGCTTCAGTAAGCAGCAGTTCTCACTCTATCCCAGTTTAGCCCATCACACAACTACAGATATTAAAATTCCAGCTCCTGGAGCAGTGTACGTATGTCTCCATCCTTCCATTTTCCCTTTAAACTTCATGCTACCTTGGCATATGACCCACTACTGCCAAGTGTCTTGGGTCAGAAATATCAAGCCAACAGAGCTTGCATTTCAGTTCCTTCTCTTTGCCACCTACGGTATCTCTAACACATAATGAAGCAAAGATTCCTGAAGCAGTAGGTTAGACAGTACAAGACTAAAAGCTTCAGTCCAGAAGTGTTTGCATGTTGTTGTGCCAGTCTGCAGGGCTTGTCAGCATGGGACAAATTTCTGTGAATGTGCTATTCTGTTGCTCGACTGAAGTCAATTTGCATGCAGCCAGCCCAAGTGCCTCTGCCTTATGCTTCCCAGCAATCCTGTGTCTGCAGTTACCATGGGTTTCTATATACCTGACACAGAGACCCTTAGTAAGCTTTATACAACATTTATATTACACATTTCATCTTCAAAAGCCTATGTAGCATTATCTAATTAACTCGCACAACACTGAATGATACATAATTTAAGCATTATTACTCACATTTTATAGCTGAGAAAATATAAAAAGCAATAGGGTACACATACGTGCCTTGGCAGCAACCGATGCAGTCACTAGTTAAGATTCTTCTTGACCCCTAGTCGCGGATCAGCCTTTTGTTTATTTTTTCACTGAGAACATTAAATAGATGAACCGGTGCAGCAATCATACATGCTTCAGGGGAAAAGGATGAGCTCTTAGTGTGACACAGTAGCTAGAGCCTTGTTTCTCCCCTGCCCCACATCTCTTTTCTCATGATTGCTTCCATACATGTACGAAATATGCCCCTTTTCTCAGTTTCTAATAAGCCCTCCTCTATGCTGGCATCACTTCATCTCTCTGGACTACCTGATCAATCTTTCTCTGTTTCTTAGCAAGATAGCAAAATTCTCCACTGAAGGCTCTTATTCTATTTAAGAAGGGCACAGTCATATAATCCTAAAGCACCAGCTTCATATTGTGCTTATTACTTGACGACTACATATTTCAGTACACTTACAAAACCACCCAGCACTTCACTGCCTCCCAACGGAACACACTTCAGTCTGAGCCATGACCATCGCTATTTATTTCATAAAGACTGAGACAATCTTCTTATTGTCCAAAACATTACCAACATACCACAAACTTCCCCAGTAACTGCTTTCCTTAATAGCAGCTAATTTTTTTTGTTTAGCCTGTCCATTTATTAATTATAGACTTAAGGATATTAAGGTTTCTCTTATAGAAAATAACTGGATTTCTGTTTTCTTTGTGATTCTGGGCATTCTAGATTTCTTTGTTTAAAAAAAACAAGAGCACGCATCTCTCCTAATGCTACATAATATAAGACTTCATTCAGCACATCACTGATAGACTGAGCCCAGTTATTAGTCTCCCATCCTAAAAGCTGTACAGGGCAAGAAAGGCTTATAAGCTTAGGTCACGCAGGAGGTCTATAGCAGTGTCAAAAATGGTACTCAAAAAAATAGATAAGCAGAAGCTCATCTTTCTTTTGTTGAGGATGAACCCAAAGCATCATCGTGGCTTTTAAACTGGCCTGCAAATTTGGAGAGTCTCATATCCTAATCTAAGCAAACAAGTTGTGTTGCTCAATGCAGATGCGATTATACAGACAGCTAAGCTTTTCCCCGCCCCGTATCAAGAACTGTTTGCGCTCACTTTGAGACCTGACAAGGTTACAATAGACATACGATAATCTTCAATTTTAAAAAAGGAAATTTCACCAGTCTTTTAGTCGCAGAGGCAGCTATTCAGCACTCCATCACTGATCTTTGTCATATGTGCTATTGCCAGACAGGCTTAAATAATTGCAGGGGGGAGGTAGAGGGGAAATTTATACATCCGAATGAAATGCTTAACATGCTACACTATTTGAATGCTAATAAAATACCTGATATCAGACAATGCTAAAAAAAATTATATACAAATCAAAGTCATCTTTCTTCCTGACCACTCCTGAAAAGCTCCTCATGTGAAATAATCAAGTTATAATATTTTTAATTATTTAGTTGGACAGAAAATAAAGTACATAGATGGAGACAAATAAGATTTATACTGAAATGCTCCTGCAAGACAAAGTACCAAACTTAAACTTAGTTTTTGAATACATGCTTACATCCCGTTGATGGCAATGCAAGAGGTTAAGCTGTGCAGAATTAGGTTTCCCAGTAGGAATGAACTAAAGCCAAACAATTTAGATTTCCCCCCCCTCTTCCTCTTCCATATCACTTTTAGTCTAGAGAGGTTTTCTAAGAGAGTTCACAGTGAAGTTCCCCATACACACGTCCAGGGAAGAGAGCCAGGGAGGTGGGAATGAGCACCCAGGTATAGGCAGAGGATGCAACCGGCTCTTTTGCTGGCAGTGCTTGCTTAAGATATTTGTGAAAATATAATTTCTCACAGTGTATGAATAAGACTACAACATAAGGGAAGATGTTTTGAAGCAAACTGAAGATCTGTGGGAGATGGTCAGTGGGAAGAAGGCTGTAAAAGACGACATCTGATCAAGCCTTGCCAGCCAATATGACAGTGGTCTAATCTTATCGGTCTACTCTGAGGTGTCTGCGGTAAATTCTTCAGTTCAATTCTTCTTGCACTTCTGGTACAAGCCTACACTGTTCTATTGACAACTGTGAATCCAGCTCTTAATTATCATTCTAGTCATAACAGTTACTGCTTCTCTGATCCTGCCTTACTTTAGGCTATATTACTTTTGGTTTTATGCTTCGTCATGCCTCTTCATGCAGCAGGTCTTGATCCAACGAACAGCAGAGCACTTATTATGATGCAGCATGTTCTCAGCATCTCTCTTCAGTAAGAGTTGAGGGCACTCTGTTTTGTTTCCGCAGCAGTACGGAGAGCATTTTTTAAATTGACTGTACCCTACTCACAAACATACTTTAAGTGAAGGAAATGAAGTTGAACATTATGTAATGTATGTCGAGGAAGTTAAACAATTCCCACGAGTATCATCAAACTTTCTAGTCAGTCTTTTTAGACTCTTCCTCAGAGTCATCAGCAGTACAGCCTGTCATTGCTGTTCTGCATCAATGAAATCTAGTTAAGTAATACTGCATCAGCTGAAAAGGAGTCAAAGTCCACATTGAACAGTGTTTAAAAATCAAGAACCATCAGTTTCAAACGTTACTGCACGCATTTTGCATTTATTGGCTACCTATATGAATGAAAAAAAGCAGTTAAAATCACTTTTGCTCCTCAATCACACAGATGTTAAGACCAAAGATACGAATGTCTCATTTGAGGGCCAGTCTCAGACAGAATCTAAGTTTTGTTTTATTTTATCTTAATTGATGGATGAACACCACTCTCTCCTACCAGGCAATCAAAGAATCAGTGCAAATAGACAAATACTCTCCTTGCACTAGCCTCTTCTTGAAAAACAATTGTGTATCACAAATCACCGCTAGCTACAGAGGTTTGTCAGAGTATTAGTTTTGTTCTTGCTTGCAACTGTTCTCAGGAAAAAAAGCAGCAACAGAACATAAAACAATGCAGTATCGCTTCAAAAACCTGTGAAACACCTGTACCTCCAGATAAGACATGATTGCACAGTTGTACCTGTGCGGTGTTATTTGGCGACTTTTATCACAACTTCAATGTAAACGGGCTTCCCTAACATACGTATACTTCTTTACTTGACCACCAACTCCACTCAGTTTGACATTCGTACATGATTCTTCTGGTGTTTCTGCTCTGGGTACAGAGACATGCCTTTTTTGTCTGGGGGCTTCTTTTGCTTTTGGACACTATACAGGGTTTAAGTTTCTTGGAGCCATCTTAAATGAAGGCACTCCTCTGTTTCTGATTTTTCTTATTTTTTGTCACTTCCCTCACGAATTACTTAAAATAATAAAAGAGGGATTCCAGATATATGTCGTTCAGTGGTTACTTGCATTGAGGTCACACCTAGTTCAATTCCTAACTTTTTCATTCAAAATTTCCGACACCTTCTGTAAAGATTTCATCAGTCCCAAAATTCAGCCTACCACATTTCCACAACAGGTCATAGGCAGCATTCCTGTTCATGTGCCCTGTGGCCAGCACAGATGTACCCCTGTACATG